ATTTCAGCTCCAACACTTCTGTCCAATCACGTAACTGCTTATATAAAAGCAACTTCAGCACCCAAAAGTGTTTTTTCACACTTGCTGCTTATCAGCTACTTTTGATGAGCTAAGCCAAACGAACTCTAAAGTGCATGCTTTCAACTTTCAGGGGTATGCACTTCTAGCAGTGCAAGCACATTTCAGGCGATTACGACCATTTCCTTGTAAGGATGTACCCTTGAGCCAACTGAATCAATGTGAGTCTGCAAATAAAGGCCAATTGGCAATCTTATACGCGGGACTTTATCTAGTTGCAATAGGGACCGGTGGAGTTAAAGCAGCTACACCGCCTTTGGGAGCTGATCAATATGATGAGAAGGACCCTAAAGAGGCTGCTACTTCAATTGGCTTATGTTCTTCCTCACCACTGGCGCGCTGTTTGGTGTCACTTTTGTAGTTTGGATAAGTGAGAATCAGGGATGGGACTGGTCTTTTGCTGTCTGCAGTATTGTAGTAGGATTGGCGATTCTGTTCCTAACTATGGGAAAATCATTGTATAGAAACAATGTCTCAAATGGAAGCCCCCTTACGCGTATTATGCAGGTGTTTGTTGTAGCACTTAGAAACAGAAATCTACCGCCAGAGAATGAACATGAATTACATGAGATTCATGATAAAGGAGCTAGAAACGATACAGAGATTCTTCGAAAAACTGACCAATTCAGGTATGTTAAGACATTTGACACTCTCAACTTATGTTCAAGTTGATATTTGATATAAAAGAAATGATAAAGCCCTGAAATACTTGCAGGTTTTTAGACCGAGCAACGATAATGAGGACTGACCAGAACACATCCACATCAAGTGCACATGGACCATTGAAACTTTGTACAGTAACACAAGTTGAAGAGACCAAAATTGTAGTCAGAATGCTCCCAATTATATTGAGTACTGTTTTCATGAACACTTGTTTGGCTCAGCTCCAAACTTTCACTATCCAACAAAGCACAACAATGGACAGAAAAATCCACAAGTTTGAAGTTCCAGGGGCTTCAATTCCAGCAATTCCACTATTATTTATGATTATCCTGATTCCTATCTATGAACGCGTTTTCATTCCAATAGCAAGAAAATTCACAGGAATTCCAACAGGGATACGACAGCTGCAACGTATAGGTGTTGGCCTTGTACTTTCAGCTGTGTCAATGGCAGTAGCTGCAATTGTAGAAAAACACCGGAAAACAGTTGCTATTAAACACAACATGGTTGAATCCGCCACTCCATTGCCAATGAGTGTTTTTTGGCTAGGGTATCAATATGCAATCTTTGGTTTGGCTGATATGTTTACATTTGTGGGATTGATGGATTTCTTCTATTCAGAAAGCTCATCAAGCATGAAAGCGTTAAGTACCGCGATTTCTTGGTCTTCACTGGCAATTGGATACTACACAAGTTCAGTGGTGGAAGTATAGTTGTTAGAAATATGCTTTAGAAGCTGCTCTCGGTAAAATTATTTTACTGTTTCAGCTATTTACTGCAGTAATTTAGTTTGAATTTGAAATAATTTTGAACTAGTCTTTAGGAGTGAACTAGTCTCTAGGAGTTAGTTATTTTCAGCATATTTTGTGCTGATTTTTTATGTCTTTTAAGTTAGTATTTCTTTATAAATTGTAGTCTAAATGCAGTAAAATAATATAGTATTTTCAGCTTCAGTTCCTTTTACATCTATTCCAGTATATTTTTTATTTTCTTGTCATCTTCCCAGTTATTTCCCTTAATTTCTTTTATCAAGAACCAACAATAGTGAACAAAGTAAGTGGTGGCTGGTTGGATAATAACAACTTGAACAAAGACAAGCTTGATTACTTTTATTGGTTGTTAGCAGGATTGAGTGTGCTCAATTTCGGGTTTTATTTACTCTGTGCTTCCTGGTATAAATACAAGAAGGTAGATGTGAATCCAGAAGATGTTGTCCTTAGTAAGGAGGCCAAGGGGAAAATTGAGATGAGCATAGTTTAGGAATTACTACAAAATAATGTTGTTTGTTCCTACATTATTTGTAGAATATACTAATGTACTATATTATGTTACTTATCAAAGGTTCCATATGAGTGTATATATTATGGGTTCTATCGGTTCAGCTGACCTGTTATTTTTGACACATAGTTTAAACATATGTGAAAATTACTAAATTGTCAATAAATATTAAATTTTGAATCCATAATTTCAAAAGTTCAAACTGAATACATCAAATTAAAATTCTGAATCCGTTACTCTACTTCATAGACCAAAAGTCATAAATGGCTTGTGGAAACTCCACAATAAGCAATCTAATATTGTATTAGTGGCTGAACATGAAATTGCTAGAAAACCACAGAATTACCAATATACCAGGAATTAATGGAAACTCCAAAAGCTTATGATATCATCTGGCTACCCCATAACTAAGGACAATAATATAAAAATCCTTCTTATTGATTTCTGTTTTTGTCAATGTCGCTTATCATATCATAGAAATATTACATTGGACGCACGCTTTGGGCCCCAAGAAAAGGATGACCCGAAAAGATTAGTCACATCATTGTCCACTAATTGCCCACAATACTATAAGTTATAAAAGGGAGAAATTCAGAAATAGCCAGATTTACAAGTGATCGTTCAAAAATAACCCAGTTTCAAAAATAATCGAAATTTAGCCACTTTGCATGTAAAGATAAATCTGAGCGAAAACACTGTTCAAAACCCAGAAAATACGCCAGTATATTATGCTGGAGTTCCAGCATAAGTATACTTGAACTCCAGCATATTATACTGGAGTTCCAGGATAAGTACACTAGAACTCCAGCATAATATACTGGAGTTCCAGCAAAATATATCGGTCCAGTATAATATGCTGGAAGTTCATACACAAGTGCTCGAATCTCCAGTATATTATGCTAGAACTTTCCGTGTGTTGGAGTTCCAGCATATTATGCTGGAAGTTCATACACAGGTGCACTGAACTCCAGTATATTATGCTGGACCGATCTCTGTTGCAGCTAAATAGTGGCTATTTTTCATTGACTTGGTAAACACTGACTATTTTTGAATGACCAGTCCGAAAACTGGCTAGACCGTACTATTTTCAAGTTATAAAATCATTGCTCTTACCCTCAATAAATTTTTGAATACTTTCACGGTAGCTGATACTCGTGGAATTAGTCGAAAAGCGCGCAAGTTGATCTTGACACCACGATTATCAAAAAAAAAAAAAAGCCACATTACAATGATTTGTATGAAAAAATTAAGTTACATTACAATGATCATACAAAAATTAAGTTTACCTAATTCTCTAAACTTGACTACATTAGGCAAGGTCTAAACTCTAAAGTAAGTCTAAAATATTTTGTATCTAGTACTACTACTTCTTACAAACGTCGCTTTGAGTGATGGCTTCATAAAACCAAAACCAAATAATTAATTTGATTATCCGTACATTTGTAGGTCAACTTGTAGTATAAAAGTCAGAGCTCAGAGGATACAACGTCAACACTATTAGTAGTATATTTATCACAAACAGAAGCGAACAAAAACACACTCAGCTGAGTTTATCAAATACATATATATTTCTGATTCCTTCTCACAGAATTAATTTGTTACTTTGTGAGAAAAGATTATTTTACGTTCATTGCCTATTTAAGAGAGCAATATCATTTGAGCTTGCAAGACAAAAACTACAATCGAAATGGTAAGTTGCGTGTTACGAATAGAAGAACTCTTCTCTTTCTGAACTGCATGTTTGGCTAAATACTTTCATTTGTTGCATGTTGCAGGATATTTGCAGAGAATTCAAGACTGAAGCAAAGAAATTACCAAGCAAGGGCGGAACAAGAGCAACTCTTTTTGTGTATGGTAAGCATATCCTTCAAGTATCTAAGCAGATATGTGTTACCTTTAACATTGAACAGTATTCTTTTAGAAAAACTATAGTGTAATCCCCACAGGCGGCTCAACACTACATGCGGCCTAAAGCCAAAATTAAAAAGAGGCCTTAAAAGACATTCAAGATTAAGAAATGCTTTTTCATATCTAATTCGTTGATAATTTTATTAGCTTGTGATTGAAAAATTGTTTAAAAAGCACTTTAAGAATAGAAGAAGATTCTACAAAATCATAGTTATAAATAAAATTGATTCAAGTTGAAGTTAATTAGACAAATTAAGAAGTCGTGCCCGCCCACCATGGGTGAGATAAGAACAACAACAACAACAACCCGTGCCCGCCCACCATGGGTGAGATAACAACAACAACAACAACAACCCAGTGTGGTCCCACAAGTGGGGTCTGGGGAGGGTAGCATGTACGCAACCTTACCTCTACCCTAGAAGGGCAGAGAGACTGTTTCCAATAGACCCTCGGCTAAACTTTAAAAATCGACAAATAATGATTGGTTAATATTGACAACAAATGATTAATTTATCACTAATAATAAATCCATAATTATTTATACTATATATAATTTGAGTAAATTTGGGGCCTTAAATTTTTTGGGGGCCTAAAGCCGCTGCTTTAATGGTTAAGCCGCCACTGGTAATCCCTTGAGCCTGAGGGTCTCCCGGAAACAGCCTCTCTATCCCCTCCGGAGTAGGGGTAAGGTCTGCATACGTTCTACCCTCCCCAGAACCCACTGGTGGGATTTTACTGAGTTGTTGTTGTTGTTGTATAGTGTGATCCCTCCTTACATTAGTAGGGTTAGGCAAGTGTGAGCCTGTATATTAAGAACGAGTAGGTAAATATACATATATAAGAGGGGGACACAACGTCTTACCTTCGTTATATGTAGATGTAACGTGTTAAGAGTGAGTTATTGTCTTCCTAATATGGTATCCTCACATGATGAGCTTGTTTTTTTGTGTTGATTTAGACCAAAAGTTCATTTTCTTAATATGGTATCAGAGTCAAATTTATCTTTATTCTTGGTTTGCCAAATGTTGGGTCCTCATCCGGACTTTTAAAAGGCAGCCCAGTGCACAAAATATCATGCATTCACGCAGGGTCCTGGGAAAGGGCCGCACCTTAAAGGGTGTGATGTAGACAACTTACCCTAATGCAAGCATTAGCGGCTGCTTCCACGGCTCGAATCCATGACCTATGGGTCACACAGAGACAATTTTGTAGAAATGACATCAGGTAGCCACTCTAAAGGGCTGCTATTTAGAAATTAGCCGGTGCATCCTGAATTTTAGCTTTTCAGACCCTTGCTCCTAGGCTCCCCTCCAACGCTCACCCACACTTATGGGTTTTGATATTTTGGCTTCTGATCATGCAGGTGTGGCAGGGATTGATACCATGGCTTTTATTTCAATTGGTGTGAGCCTGGTGACTTACTTCTATGGGTATATGAACTTCAGCTTAACAAAATCTGCCACTACTGTCACAAACTTCATGGGAACCGCATTCTTGCTCTCATTATTTGGAGCCTTTCTCTCAGATACTTACTTCTCCAGATTCAAGACTTGTGTTCTGTTTGGCAGCATTCAAGTCTTGGTATTTCTTATTTCAACATCTTGACTAAGCAAGAAAACAAAAACAGATTATTCAAATGTCTATGCAGAACCAAGATTTGACTTTTGATCATTCTTTCATTTGTAGGGATATGCACTTCTAGCTGTTCAAGCGCATTTTAGCCAACTCAGACCATTTCCCTGCAAGAATGTACCCTTAAGCCAAAGCAATCAATGTGAATCTGCAGATATAGGCCAATTGGCAATCTTGTATGGAGGCATTTATCTAATAGCACTCGGAAACAGTGGTGTCAAAGCAGCTTTGCCATCTTTGGGTGCTGATCAATTTGATGAAAAGGATCCAAAAGAGGCTGCTAAGTTATCAAGTTACTTCAATTGGCTACTGTTCTTTATCACCGTCGGAACCATGCTTGGTGTTACATTTTTAGTCTGGATAAGTGATAGCCAAGGATGGGATTGGTCTTTTGGTGTCTGCTGTATAGCAGTTGGTTTGGCAATCCTGCTCTTAACCATGGGAAACCCATTTTACAGGAACAACATTCCTAAAGGAAGCCCTCTTATGCGTATCACGCAGGTTTTCGTTGCAGCTTTTAGAAACAGAAATCTCCAATTACCACAAAACAAAGAAGATTTACATCAGATCAAGAGTAGAGAACCTGAAAATGGAATTGAGATTCTTCAAAGGACTGATCAATTCAAGTACTTAACATCACTCTTTTTCTGATCTTTTGGTTAATATATTGCTCCAGCTAACCATATTCCCACAATATGTACAGATTTTTGGACAGGGCAGCCATACTGAGGACAAAACAAGAAGCATCTACATCAAGTGCACATGGACAATGGAACCTCTGCACTATTTCACAAGTTGAAGAAACAAAGATTGTAGTCCGAATGCTCCCAATAATACTGAGCACTGTCTTCATGAACACTTGTATGGCTCAACTCCAGACCTTCACTATTCAGCAAAGTCTAACAATGAACAGAAAAATCCGAAACTTCGAGATCCCAGGGCCTTCAATATCTGTAATTCCACAATTGTTCCAACTCTTTCTGATCCCAGTCTATGATCGTATTTTCGTTCCAATAGCAAGAAAATTTACAGGGATCCCTTCTGGGATTAGACAACTCCAACGTATAGGTGTTGGACTAGTAATTACAGCAGTTTCTATGGCAGTAGCTGCAGTTGTAGAAAGTCACAGGAAATCAGTTGCCATTGAGCACAACATGGTTGATTCAGCCAGGCCATTACCTATGAGTGTGTTCTGGCTCGGATACCAATACGTAATATTTGCAACAGCTGAAATATTTACATTGGTGGGGTTGCTTGATTTCTTTTATGCAGAGAGCACATCAGGCATGAAATCACTGAGTATGGCCATTTCTTGGTCTTCTCTGGCATTTGGGTACTTCACAAGCTCATTGGTGGTGAGTGTAATTAACAAGGTGAGTGGTGGCTGGTTAGCTAATAACAACTTGAACAGAGACAAGCTCGACTACTTCTATTGGTTGCTAGCAGGAGTCAGTGTGCTGAACGTGGGGTTTTATTTACTGTGTGCATCTTGGTATAAATATAAGAAGCTAGAACTGAATCGAGAAGATGCTACCTCTGATAAGAAGGCCAAGGGGAAAATGGAAACATGTGTTGTTTAAGAAATATTCTTCCTTAGTGTTTGACCTAAATTATATAATATAATAACAATGTACTTATTTCCCTAGTCTCCATGTAGTCCTGCACTCAGTATTTTTAGTTGATCAAGTGTTCAGAGATGCAAATGATCATAGTGTCTAGCACACCCAAAGCATATCTAGGAGAAAAATCCTGGCAATATGGTTTTAGACTTAGCTACAGCATGGCACTTCCCAAATATGAAGTACGGTTAACACAATTGATTGGAACGGAGGAACTGAACAATACATCACAATATAAAATAATTTTTCCCTTTTCTTTTTGGGAAGGGAGAGGGTGAGGAGGAAGGAGAAGTAAAATGCGATAACAGAAGGTATTAACATGGGCATGAAATTTGAGACTTGAGTTGTTATTTGATCCAAGTAAACTGTGACAACATAATGTAATACATTAAACCTTCACTCTAAGTTCTTCATTGCTAGACTATTCCTCGCTTAATTTAATGTTGAATGTCTAGTTATTAGGAAAAAGGCAAACTGCATTTCGTCTTCTTTTTTTCTTCTTTCAATACCAGAGCTTGGATAAAGTAGCAAAAAAAAAAAAACCTAACTGGTTGAAGTATCCATGAACTGTGCCAAAATTGGATTGAGTCGACAATCCCATAGACGAAGCAAACGTGTTAGAAACCAAGGGTACCCGGAAAATTAACATCCTGGAACCACGTACTTTAAAATCTGCAGTTTTCTACTGACAGAATTTAAGGTTTCACATATTACATGAACAGTATCTCATATTCATCCTCTAGTTACCACAGGATGAACTGAGGAAACAGGAGGCTATGATGTCAGATCCTGTTTTCTGGCCCACATGCTAATTGCAGATTTGCAGAATCCTACAACTCATCTGATCGACCCTAAGAGACTGTATATCTCTCTAATATGTCTCCACAAAAGATAGGTTAAGAGGCAACAAATTAGAAGGGCTAGGAAAACAAGCATCATTTGATGTGAACTTGGGCGTAGGCTAAGATGAGACAGACCATCTTAGAGATTCCTTTAGCAAGTTTACGTAATTAGAGCAATTCACATACTTAAAACAAGCTTTCATTTTAGAGCAATATCGAGAGCAAGTGTTCAGTTATTATCATAAACTTACGTAATAAAGGACTTTTTCAATCTCGATTAATTGTCACTCCTTCAGATTTACAAAATAGAGTTACTCATTCCTTTCCATTCACTTTCAATTTACAAGTGATATGATGTACAAATCCGGCAACCATTTTCAATCATCACAGTGAGGAAAATTGAGAATCTACACAACAGCACGCTGAGACTGGTTAATAAGTAAATAAAAGATGTAATTCCCTACCATCTAACATCCAATGTTAAAGGCTCTGGCGGGACAAGAAAAGATGAAATTTTGGTAAAGGACATATTCGACATCAAATTACTCCATGACGATGAATCTACTTCAATAAAAGGTCTGACCTTCTTAATGAAACGCGGCTTCAAGACCTCTTCCTCAAACCTTGCTGTTACTTCAAACCATGAACGTTCAACAGCTGGCTTTGTTCTCCACTGCCCCAAAGCAGTCCAGTACGTGTCATTGCTGGGAATACCTCTTTCCAACTCCATCTGGAAGCGAAAAAGGGTCAAGTCTTCAACTTTCACTTTTAAAAGATCTAAACTTGCAATCTGACTCGTCCGGCCACCTAGAAAACTCCTTAGAACTTTTCCGAGTAATGTTATCTTCTGACTCAGAAAATCACTATACAAGCTCCGCTTTCTGTAAATATGCCTTGTATAACATTTTTCAGCTAGCAACTTGATGATTCTTCTCGGTATAAAGGCAGTTTCGATTCTTAAACCAGGGTTTCTGGTCCTGTACGCAAGTACTGATGCAGATCCACTAGCATGTACTGGAAGTAACGGTATGCAGGATGATTGCCAAACATATCCAAATTCACAACCTCCCGACTTGGTCAAAATGCTTCCATTTACCAATTTAAGCAACGCAGAAATGTTGAAAATTGATATTTTATTCGCACCTTTAACTTCTACAGTGATGCCCTCACCAACAAGGATCCTTTTCAACCCCGTATAGGAAGAGTTCAGCTGTTAAAAGGCAAACAACAAAATGTCATTAGCCCAATATAAAAATGTAATGATTACAATAATCTTACTTTCACTGTTCGAATAGAATACATAAAGAAGGCATCAAGTGATGACAAATCACATCGTAGCAACAGTAGTTGCAAGACTAGCAAGAAGAGATAAAAGCACAAATCTATACCCATCCCCTTCAAGAGAATAATCTAAATAATTAAAGGAATATGTCAAACATCAACATCCAAACAGGCTATGTCGCACCATGTCTGAGCACAATTCTCCGTGATATAATATGATAAAATTCATATCCTCGCATTATGTAATCGAACTTAACAGTTAGAAAATCAATCATGGTGCACATAGGCTAGTTTGACATTTTCTCACCATTAGAGCTTCAAGTCAGTCAAATAGATTGAACAAGAAATATATCACATCCATTCACAAATTTGATGTTCTCTTCCTCTGAGACAGATTAGAAGTTCTAAAACATTTTGCATCTAAAGAAGTTGCATGTATACATGTAGTGGTTCTATTTTGGACGAAACCTAGATAAGCCTATAACAACTTTGCTGATATAATCGCAGCTTCCGTTCGATCTGATAAGTCAACTGAAACTTCAAGGAGGTTAGCACTTATAAATATGCTGAACGTAAGGACTTCAAAAGTTTTGCCCTGTGATAACTTGATACACAAGGACTATGGAAAACTACTTCATTCGGCACTCCAACATTAGAATCAAAACCCAAATACTACATCTTTAAGATACTTCCACTTCAATTACAACACAATCTAAATTTGCAATCAATCTGAGGTGGATCTACAATTTCAAGTCAGCAAGTGCGGAGTACCACTACACTCGCTACTCCTTTGTAACAGTAGGTACAAGTTAAAAAATTTAAACTATATATATATAACTCGAGCTAAACAGGGTGCTGTCCACTACTCAACAACAACAACAACAAAAAACCCAATTTAATCTGGGGTCTACCTTACCCCTACCCTGTAAAAGTAGAGAGGATGCTATCCACTACTCCTTTGTGACAATAGGTGCAGCCTTAGTGTGTGCATAAATTTAAAAACTTTCAACCATACATATAAAATTTAACAAAAGAAAAGTCAAACGATAAATAAAGATAGACATACGGGTAAGTCCAAAGAGAGGTAATCATCATCTCCAGTAGCATACAATTCAAAAGGCCCTTGGATTTTCAACACATCAAGAGTAGCCTTAGAACCAATCTCTTTAACAAATGACTCAAAGTCAGACTCATTCTTGTTAAGAAAGTTAAAGTCTTTCCACTGAGACACTTCATCTGACATTAAGAACACAAATTCCATCTTCCCAATTCGAACCCGAAACTCATACTTCCTTAAAGTTCCAAACTTTAATTTCTTCACATCCAATTTGGAAACTCTCAAGTCCTCCAAATCCCATTTCTCTTTCTCAGCAATCCCTTTTAATACATCCTGAAAACATATATACCAAAGAGAACCAAAAAACCTATTAGAGAATCATGATAGTTAATTAATTACAGTAATTAAGAAAAACCCAGTTGGGTAATTGAACAAACCTGGAGAAAAGGGTGAGGTGAAGATTGGGGATGTTCGAAGTAGTTGATTCTGGGATAAATGAAGTGAGAGATGTTGAAGGGTATAGAGGATGATGAAGTGGAAATTGAAATTGGAGAGAGGAGGATAAAGATTAGGAGAAAAGTAGAAGAATGGGTATGGATCATTGTTAGCTTTTGATTTTTCTATGCAAATGGCAATGGGATTAAAGGCTTTGCTTTCCTTTCTGCAGAGACAACACACAGATCTGTAGAGGGAAATGTAAATTGACTATTTGGGACACCGCATTATTGGATTGTACATTGTACAACATAATTCCTTATCAATCCGTTTATTTTCATAAAAATCAAAATTACCTAACCAAACCAACAAAAAAAATCGATACTTTTTAGATTTGTGATCGTTTGGTTTTGGTTTTAAATTTTAAAAACCGGTCAAATTTGATTTGGTTTTAATTTTAATATAAAAATAACCAAAAAAACAAACGAACCAAACCGACTATAAAAGTAGCTATTTAAATTTATTATTACACCTATATATATGTATATTTTTATATAAAGTTTTTAAAATTTTATGGTAAATATTAGTCATTTGTATTTTTAGTCTAGTTCTTTGCTATTATAATAATCTAATTCTTTGCCATTAGATTCTAGCTTGATTTGTAGCTTTCTTTTGCTAAGTACAAGAATTTATTTCATGTTAAAAATAATTTATTTTTAATTGAGTACTTACATTATTCATCACTATTTTGATTCAATTATCATCAATATATCTTGGTAAATGATAGAGTTCTCAAAGAGCAATTGATATGATAGTATTACGTTGCAAATGTAGTCACCGAAATATGCGTTTGGTAGTGTATGTCTCATATTTAAGAAAAAAATAGATAAACAACCGAAAAAATAAAAAAACCGACAAAAACCACCAAAAACCGAATCAATAAAAAATCGACTTAATTGGTTTGGTTTGGTTCCAATATTTGAAAAACCGACTTACTTGATTTGGTTTCTTTTTAGGAAAAAATCGACCCAAACCGAACCATGAACGCCCCTACGTTCATGTAAGTTTGAGTATGAAACTATGAATAATACTTATTTTGCTCTATTTAAACTCGTTTCAACCAACATTATATCAAATGTAAAATTTAAAAAGAGGAGAAAAAGACAAGAACAAATACTCTCTAGCTGTAGAAGTTTTCTCTATTTTCTATCGATATATAAATTTTTGACACAACTAAAAGACTGTAAATAAAATATTGGACATAATGTGAACTTACTACATGACTAAAATTTAATCCCAAGTCTTTTTATCTCAACTTATTGATATAACTTATATAGATCTTTCCTACTTTTCATTAGATCACACATTATATCAAATATAATCATTCTTAATCTTATATAACTGCACATTCACCTTAACATTCGCATCTTTGTATAGCACTCATTCTGGAGATATATTGAACACTAATAGCTCGGCATTCACGTATAACATTATTTGTCTTACAAGTATTACATAGATTTAATAGCTATCATTTTAACACATTACTCTTCATCTATTATGACATTCTTTTAGAACATCAAGCCTAAAAATGTACTCTACCTAATAATTTAAGCTTTAAAGTAAAACTTTCTTTTCCAAATAACATATGAGCTATTTACTTAAATAACATATTAGCTAGGGAGTAGTAGAGAGTTTTTTTCTCTTTGTATCGGGTAGTCTGATAGAGTTTTGTCTAGATCTGTTAACGGTCTATGTTGTGTTCTTTTGTTGTTTTGTATAGTATTGTGTTATTGCAATTTTCACTTATTTGTTGCCTCTTAAGATGATATTATTACTTCCCTAGCTTCTTTTGTTGTTACAGATCTTTTCTTTCATTTCTTTTCTGATATTATTGTCTCCTCTATTGAGCCGGTGGTCGTCCGGAAACAACCTCTCTACCCTTCGGGGGTAGGGGTAAGGTCTTTGTACACTCTACCCTCCCCAGACCCCACTAGTAGGATTTTACTAGGTATTGTTTGACCAAAAAGTATTAAGCCTTTTGATTAAATCAATTAATGATAAAGTAGAGGGTAAATCTTGGCCAAATATAATCAACTTTAGATCCAAGCACAATGGGCATTAGACTCAAAGAGATCGAGTTCATACATATATCTTAGAATGAATGAAAGACGTTAAAAGTAAATAATAAGCTTACAACTTCAATACATTGTTCCATGCTTGTATAAGCAAAGAAGATAAGGGATGAATCCTGCTGATGAATATGAGATCTAGCTTTATTGATTCAACAATGGAGATTACAAAGGTTTGTAACCTAGATTATAGACTTCTTCCTTCTTCCCTTGGAGTTCTCTATCGTGTCTCTCCCTTCTTTTTCTGCTTTGCCTTATATATATATATATATATATATATATATATATATATATATATATATATATATATATATATATATATATATATATATATATATATATATATTGTCAATTTTCCCTTTTACCCAACGGTTCTTGATCAGCGTGCACTCTCATGACTATACTCTTCCTCACTCGCCCTAGTATTACATTCTGCCGTGTAAGCCTTCTGATGGCCTGATCTCGGCAGTAGCAAAGATGCTCATCGCCATTACGCCTCGTGGGCACGACCATGGCTTGGCCGACCTCTTACTGTTCCTTTTAATGACAGCCATCTGATGGTCATATTTTGACCCATATAATTAGTCCCTCCGCCCGTTGGGGTCGCCTTTTGGCGAGCTCGATGGCGGACCCTGTTGACTCAAGAGTTAAGAGAAATCTAGACATCATGCGAGGGACGAAGTCCTCATGGCGAGGTGACGACGCGATGCTTCAAGGACTTTACTGGACCGTTACGTCAGTTCAGAGATGGATCATCACATCGGTTCAGGGTGCCATGAATACTTGTTAAGCATCATTATGGCGCACGTTTCCCAAGCACCGTATCGTTTCCCATGCCCTTTTAGTTCTTTTTGATTGGCGGTTCTCGGGTTTCTCGCTCAGGATATTTGCGTTCCTATAAATAGGGGGAATCCCTTATTTGATTGTTATGCTTTTCAATTTACCTGAGAGAATTTTACAAACCTCCACCTTCTTCAGTATTTCATACTTCTACTTTCGTTAGGATTCGACGTGACCTCTCTCTCTTTTCCTTCATTGTTCTTGTTTATTTCGATCTTAGACAGATAAATGGTTGGTACTTCTTCCCAGACTGATAGATTGGTTGAAGCTCCGGCGCTGGAAATTGACGTACCCCTTCTTGAAGAGGAAGTGGAGGTGGTGGAAGATGAGGGGTTTCCGACGGTGGATGAGATAGTACCCCGTCCAGAGAAGTTAAGGACTGACTTCAACAGTCCTGCCGGAAATGAATCGGAGCCTGTCCCTTCCACCATGGATGAAGCAGCGATTACGGCGCTCAAGGCCAAGTGAGGAATCCCAGTTCATATCAAAATGGTGCCGGCGGCGGGGAAGGACATTGTACATTTGCACCGCTCGGGGTACTGCGCATTTTACGCGTACCCTTTTGTTATTGGGTACACGCTTCCCCTCCCCTCTCTGGTGGTAGACTTCTGCCGCTTCTACGAAGTGTGCCCGGCTCAGCTTTCTCTGTACGCGTACAAACTCTTCCTCATGCTTATCAAGTATGCGAAGCTTGCCGGACGAGGAATTTCCTTGGGGCACATGCTTCACATCTTTGCCCCTCATTTTCTTCGGGGTACAATGATCCACATGCGCCATCGAGGAACCAAGAGTTTGGTGGTAAAAATGGACGACAAGGCTAATTTCCGTTTCGGGGAAAGCTACTTCTATGTGCGGACAGAGCATCTTATGGCGGACCTAGGGGTGGGCGTTCGGACAGTTCGGATTGAATTTAAAATTTCGGTTTGGATTTTTGGTTTTCGGATTGAAGAAATGACAATCCAAATCCAATCCAAATAAGCTCGGATTGGATCGGATTTTTTAAGTTCGGTTTTGGATTAATCGGTTTGGATATTTTTGATTTTCGGTTTTGAGCTTATAAGTTAAGATGTTTCTTCTTTTTACAAAAAATGAATATCCAAATGAAGTACTCATGCTAAATTGCCCGAAAAGTTACTCATTCTCACCGCAATCATCCAAATAAAGTATTCAAGTAATGAAATTATTATAAAGGGAATGCAACAAAGACACTAATACGCCTAATAAGAAATAGCAATAGTAAAACCATATCCAAATAGAAAATATTCGGATAGTAACTTAGTAGTTAATATTGAATATATGAGATAATATCTAACGGGTAGGTATCGAACTTATTACTACTGACATATGGATGATGGACTAAATATGAAGTATAAAAATTTTGGATTTTCGGAACCCGAAGTACCGAATCCAATATCCAATCCGAAATCCAAAATTTTAAAAAATTAAATCCAAAATCCAATCCGTAATCCGAAAATCCAAACAAAAAATTTAAAAAATTTGGATTTCGGTTTGGATTTCGGGTTTGCCCAAACTATGCCCACCCCTAGGCGGACCCGGCCGAATTTCCAGAGACGTGGAACTTCGCCCGGAAGTTTTCCTTTATTTTATGATTCCTCTTAAGGTGGTCGTCGATCATTCTCCTTTAGGTGATGTTGCTAAAGACTTGTTTTTGCTTTTGCAGCTGAGAGACTACCTCCCCCGCTAGTTGACGATATTCACGAGTGGGTGAGCGCAATTCTCCCCCATACAATGGGGATTCGTGAGTGGGTGTCCTTTCATGAGAAATATGGGCGTAAGCCTCTCACCGATGAGTCGGCTTGCTGCAATTTTTCCTTTGTTCTTTGCCTCATGGTTCGGCCTTGCTGTTATATGATCGTCTTTCTTTGTTGATAGGGAGGGTACGAAGGACGAGGGCTCCTCCGCTCGCATTCCATCAGCCGGCGCCCCTTTCCCGACCTACGCCGAGAGCCGTTGCCCGGCCTGCACCGAGAGCTACAGCCCAATCTGCGCCTGCGGCCGAAGCCATTCGTGCGGAGTCTACTCCTCGGCCAGAGACTCCGGTTCCTGCTATCCGTCCAACGGGCGAATCATCCCGTGCCAGTAGTGGAGAGGCCCCATGGAAGAGACGACGGGTGGTGTTGGAAGTGGCTTCTCAAGTCGAAAAATCTTCGAGGAGCGACCTTGCCTTGGCGGTGCCCGAAACCGGCAGTGATGCCAACTCGGCCGCAGAGGCTACGCCTGTTATAAGCGGTCAACAGGCTGGTGTGGGGGAAGACGAAGTCCCGAGGCTACCGTCACTATCTCGAATGTCCCTTCGACATCCCGGCCGAACCGTAC